CTCTCTCTCTCTCTCTCTCTCATGATATATATATATATGTCTCTCGTAAGTATGAGTACACGGCCGGCCTGCGCCACGAAGCGCTCCTTCAGCGTCGCGGGGCTCACCTTGGCGAAGGTGTGCTTCAGGTCTCCGCAGGTCTCCGCAGGCCTCCGGCCCTCCACGTGGGGCTTCAGCTCGAGGTCCCGGCCACGGAGCGAGGATCTCCCGGATCGCCTGGCAGTAAGACAAAGAAGAAGAGCAGAGCAAAGAACGCGGGCACCGGCAACGCAGCGCCTCCCAGGACAGCGAAGGCTCGCTCCACGAGGCCTCGGCGACCCTCCGAGAGCTCCTGCCGCAACAGGGCAACTGCAACGCGTCGCTCTCTGCAACGTCTCTGTCCCCGTGGAGGAGCTTCAGGAAGACGGGCAGCTGGAGCTTGCCCTTGGTCTCGGCGCAGGCCTCGAAGATGGAGGCCTGCTCAGAGCGGCGCGCAGAGCGCTGGAGCTGTGGAGCTCCCCGCCTCTTCGGCTTCGCGGAAGCTGAGCCCAGCCTTCCGGCAGGCTTGCCGGAACTCGTACCTCCGAATAGCCCCCATGAACGCCCCTCCACCGTCAGACTGTAGAAGCTAGAAGCATGAAGAAGCATGAAGAAGCATGAAGGATGAAGCAACTCACCGACATGGGAGGACGTGAGCAAGGTGCTGTGAAGGCTTCCTTGCAGAATGGCCCGTGTGCAATGCCAAGCGGGATGTGACTCGGCGTATTGACGAACCACGAAGCGCCCAAGAGTGCGACCATGACTCGGGACCAGAGATTAAATGGCAGAGTCGTGGCTCACGTGTCCAACTGATCGTCCACGTCGTCGTCCGCTGCGTAGAAGTGCCTCGGATTCTCAGTGGCTCCGAGGCCGAAAAGCGCATGGCGAAGCGCTGGGCCCCGTGCTGCACCACATCGACAGCCGCCCGAAGGCCACGCCTGCGCGCGCTCAAGCGCTGCTGCTCTGCCCCCTGTTACCCGCTTTTTTGTTGCTCTTGCCGCTCTTGCCGCTCTTGATCTTGCCTTGTAATCTGAGCCCGCGTGCGCTGCATCACCTGTCAGGAGGCAGCGTTCAATTCCCCCTGACCCGGTTTCGGGTTGTCTCCGAGCGTCCGAGCATCCTCGATCTTTGTCACCATGTCCACTTTGTGGTGCGTGACAGTCATTGGCAGCGTGTTGGTCTCCGCAGTGAGAAACATCCGGGGGGGAGTCTCTATATAGGCGTGCGGGGCGGGAGCGCGTGCGGCCCGTGCCCCGCCTGCCAGTGGTGGAGGCCCGTTCGGACTTTTTGTGGAGCCCCCGCCGCGGGCCGAGCCAAAGCGGCGCGCGTCTCCACCGCGGCGTCGAAGGCCTTGTCCAGGTCCCAGACCTCCGATCTTTGCACCACCCTTTTGTCCCACTCTAGGGGTCACTTCTTTCTTCGCCTTTGCCAGAACCGACGTGAAGTCCTCGTCAGAGGCGAAGCAGCCACTAATTGACCTCATCAGCCGCAGGGCCCTACACCAGGCTGCACCATTCCGACTCCCTTCTGCTCTACTCTCTCGGATCGCGGCTTGTAGTAGTCCTCAGAACTGAAACCGTCGTCGACTCAGAAAGAAAAACAGCGGCCTCGCCTCGAACTCCTCCCAGGCGACTAAGTTCGTTGGGTAGGAGCCTCAGCTCTCCTCTGCTCTGCTCGGACCGACTCGGACCTCTCCGGCTGGCGCCGGCCTCCCCCCCCCTTTCATTGGGGCGGCCACGCTGGCCGCGCCGGAAGCTGATGTGATCCTCTTGGACTCTCGACTCTTCAAAAACCCTGCGCTTCCGTTCCGCCGCTTCCGCTGGCAGCGGACGCCAGTCAAAGCCGTCCTTCAAGGTGTCTGCGAACTCTTCAAGAACCTCAGGTCTGAATCTTCTCTGCGATCTCCGCCGAGTCTACGCCAGAGGCAACGCTCCAGCGAGCCTCCTCTGCTGTGCGAGTGCCAGCAGACACCTGCCCAACTCTTACACTTCTTCTGGCGCTTGTATGCGCAAGAGTGCGAAGCACATGGCAGCACCCCTCTTGTCTCAAGCCGCTGGGCACGTCACAGACACAGACCTTCAGTCATAAAAGTCTCAGCTGGGCTTTCAAGCTCTCTGTCTTGTGGGCCTGGCGCCGCCGGACTGCCGGGTGGACCGGCGCTGCACGCTGTGCTCTCTCTATAGGCTCTCTGTGAGAGCTGTGTTTTNNCCCCCCCCCCCCCCCCCTCCCTCCCGGACTTTGCAAAGGATCTCAATTGCCATGCAGGTGTTCAATTAGATAAGGCGCAGCTTTCAGCATTTCGGACCCCAAGTCGGGCTTCGACGCGATCGGCCGGCGCTTTTCGTTTGCGAATTCGGGCTTCACCCTAAATTGTCGAAGCTTAATCGCAGGAGCTCACGGCGTGCCATTCTCGCAACGTCAACAAGTTCCCAACGGCCAGCGACAGCAAAGTCAAAAACGTCAAGCTTCAACAAGTCTGGTTACCTGGCTGTATATAAGCCATCTGAACAGGTTCTCTGTCCTTGTGCACCTCGTGAAACACGTGCCTATAAAACGCCCCTGGCCGCCCCAAACACGCCTGAGGGTGGCGGTTCGCGTTGAAGGAGCGCAGCAAGACCCCCAGATCCACCAGCCCCTGCCAGGAGAGGCACGGGTAATTAGAACTCCGAGCGAGAGAGAAGAAGAGAAGGAAAGAAAAGGAAAGAGGAGAGGCGGAGGGCGGAGGCGAAGCGCGGGTGCCTCCGAGGCCACGTCCAGTCGCCGGAAGGCCTGGCGAATGGCCGCCTTAGAGGCGGTCATTCAAAGGGCTCTGAGGTTCTCTAGGAGGCCTCTGGCAGAGGCCAGGAGATGTCTTGTCGGCTCGGCGGTTCAAAAAGTCGGGACCCATACCCTCCGCGCTTGGCTGATCTCCTCCTTCAACGCCAGAAAGAACCTCAGAAAGGGCCTAAAGCCTGTCAGGCTGGGTCAGGGCTGCGGAACCAAGGAGCTCATCGTAGGGGAGCTGGTTCACGTGCGGCTGACGAAAGAGGTCAAAGATGGCGCGGAGGTCCCCAACACTGACCTCAAAAGGCGGCCAAGAAGGAGAGATGAAACAAAACGGCTCCTTTGGCAGTGCCTGCAGGTCCTGGAAGAAGTCGCCAAGGACCTGTTCAAATCACATTCGTGCCGTGCTTGGATAGTGCCGCCCCTTTGCCGCTGCCTTCTGAAAGACCTCGAAGCTGATGACTCGGGCATTTTGCGGATCTGCATCTCGAATGGCCTGAGACGCGAAGCGGCGCTTCAACATCACGCCCCCGTTTCCCTCCTATACAAACGCTATTTTTCCAATATGCATATATATATATATATGCTCGCCCCCCCTTCCATGATCAACCGGTCGGTGGTGCGTGGGGTGGTGNNTGAAATGCATGCGATCTCGACTCCGATTACATTCTACAGAGCATACAGTTTCAGGAGCATCTCCTTTCAAAGCTCGAGAGTATACAAAGACAAGATTTATCCAATGTTATATATGGTGAAAATATTCGGGGCCTGGCGGCTAATTTCGGAACGGTAGAAATCAGGACGACAGTGCAGGAGTAGATTTCTGAAATATGGCAAAATACCCACCTTCCATCCGCTGACAAGCCACTATCAAGCATGCATACAGTATTCGCAATAGACGTACTTGTTATTAAGATTGTGCAATTTTAAGACCAGCTATGTATTGCAAAAACATTCACTGAAGACTTATATGAGCTGAACTAGCCTTTAAATTTTTGTTCAACTAACAATATAGCAGATGTAACGAGAAGTTATGGTGGCCAATTATTCCATTAGTTCCCATCACAATCTGCTAGCTATTGACAACATGCCTTTTACGAAGGAAATTACAATAGACCGCGGAAACTGTGCATGCTCGTTAAGTACTAAGTCATAACATGTCAACTACATGATCCAAACATAATACAAACGAGCACGTTGCATATAAAAGAAGCACCAAAAAGACATGAAGCAAATATTCGATTTAGTACCACTGAAATATTAACTAAATTGAACTACGCAGTAACCGCGGACTGGCGAGGTATCATGTAGAATGTAACACCATTAAATTAAATATGTATTACATGCACCGCATCTGTCAGTTGTTAATACTGTCTTCTATCTATGAGCTATCTTCCACGTGTTGCTTGAATATCAATAACGCGTCAGGTAAGTGTGAAATCGTGAGATATTGGCCGAACAGTTCATATTAATTGCCAAGCCATATCAATAGTTCATGAACATCAAACACAAAGCGTTATTGACCATTACTTAGTATTTCTTGTAACAGTAAGACGATATTGAAAAATGAACAAATGATCGCTATCTAACACGTGCTGATATTGCCTTCACTTGTCGTCAGCTATCTTCTAGAGATTGCCGTATTACCAAAAACGCTTTAAGCATATACTCATGAGATCTTGGTCGAATAATTCATGAATATGACATGCAAAGCGATTTTACTGTTTCATGAATATCGATTTCCAAGCAAAACTAATGAATACTACGCTTCTCTTAAAACGTTCATTCGATAGTTATGGAAGAATGATTAACATGCGCGGGATTTCACAACTATTGGTCTTACCTTTTGCTTGTGGTCAGTTATCTTTTGAATATTTCCATAGCACCAAATATATACTCATGAGATGTTGGTCGCATAGTTCATTAATAACAAATGCTAAGCCAGATAATCATTACTAAGCATGTGTCATAATGGTAATTCGATATTGACGAATGAACAACTACCTGACGAGTCTTCAGGCAATATTTTTTGACATTTCAAGTACTAACCATGCTGACAGAACTGTGCACTTTGGCCTGCCCGACACTGTCTGTTTAAATTTGGTCCTGCATTCAAGTGCACTCACTTCTTGGGGCTTAGAACACAGACTCGAGGCTTCAAAGAGGAGCTTGCAGGCAGCCATAAAGTGCCGTACTGTCCCTAAACTCCTAAAAGCACCAATCTTTTGGGAACTAACGGGGGCTCCAGGGCTGGTAGTGCTGGAACGATTGGTAGTTCAGGTCTTTTAAGGACAATACAGCACTTTAGTGGTACTTGCAAGCCAAAAATAGGGACAGTACAGCACTTTTGCAGTCTGGACAGGCGAAAGTGCTGTACTGCCCTATTTTTTGCTTGCAGGCACCAATAAAGTGCCGTACTGTCCCTATAAAACTACCGGGGGCTCTAGGGCTGGTAGTGCTGGAGAAGTAGGTTTTTTGGGTTTTTTAAGGACAGTACAACACTTTATTGGTACTTGCAAGCCAAAAATATGGACAGTACAGCACTTCTGCAGTCTGGACAGGCGAAAGTGCTGTGCTGTCCCTATTTTCTCGTTTCCAGGCAAGCAAAAAACAGAGACCGTACAGCACTTCTTGCAGTCTGGACAGGCGAAAGTGCTGTACTGTCCCGATTTTTGCTTGCAAGCACCACTAAAGTGCCGTACTAACCCTAAAAAACGTAAAAACCAATCTTTTGGGAACTACCGGAGGCTCCAGGGCTGGTAGTGCTGGAAAATCCAAGAGCCCTGCCCTTTTGAGGTGGAAGGTTCATACCTCTTAGAGGTGACTTTGTGTGTCTAACGCAAGGAATCCACGGATGCCGTGGCTCAAGGCATGAAAAGTGCGGCCTCCTCTGAAGCGAGGCCTGTCAGGCCGTTTGTAGGAGGGTGGGTTTTTTTCCGGTTGGGTTGAGTTTAGCTTTGGGAAGGTGGTTGAGGCTCAGGCCAGGTGCCCCTTGCCCTTGCGTAGCTCCCCTGCCCCCCTGAACAGGTTCCCTTTGGAAGTTCAGGGACCGAGCTTTGGAGCTTGAATTGCTTTTCTTGCTTGTCTTGTGTGGGGATTGGAACCTTGGGATCCGTTTAGGATCTGGTGGTTGGTTTCTGGTGTTACCGACTTCGTTCTTATGGCGATGTGTGTGTGTGTGGGGTGTGTGTGTGTGTGTATGTATGTGTGTGTGTGTCTGCGAAATGCGAATATGCCTGTCCAGACGGCAGAAGTGCTGTACTGTCCCTATTTTTGGCTTACCTGGGGACCAGAAAATTGGGACAGTACAACACTTTCGCTTGTCCAGACTGCAGAAGTGCGGTACTGTCCCTATTTTTGGCTTGCAGGTACCAATAAAGTGCTGTACTGCCCCTAAAAAACCTAAAAAACCAATCTTTCCAGCACTACCAGCCCTGGAGCCCCCGGTAGTTCCCAAAAGATTGGTTTTTTAGGTTTTTTAGGGACAGTATGGCACTTTATTGGTGCCTGCAAGCAAAAAATAGGGACAGTACAGCACTTTCGCCTGTCCAGACTGCAGAAGTGCTGTACTGTCCCTATTTTTTGCTTGCCTGGGGACCAGAAAATAGGGACAGTACAGCACTTTCGCTTGTCCAGACTGCAGAAGTGCTGTACTGTCCCTATTTTTGGCTTGCAGATAGTTAACGGGCGGCTATGAAGGGAGGCTGAGGCTGGAAGCTGCGGCAGAGTACTTCACGCGAGTGATATTTTGCAGTATTGCACATGCAAACAAAATGCAAGGTCCTTGCTGTTTTGCGTTCGCGACAAGACGTGCGATGAGAGCGCTCAAAATCATCGCAAGGGAGCCGTCTTTCAGTTGGTGTGAAAGAGAGAGTGGATCATTCGACCTGTGGCCTTCCACATGTTCGAGCTGCGGTTCCAGTACGTAAACTGGGCCGACCGGATCTTCCGGACGAGTTGCTGGCTACCTGGGACTCGGGATGAGTTCTTTAAGAAGGTCCTCAAGGTGCCCCAGAAACGGTCAATGACTTGCGTCCCGCTTTTCACCTTCAGCCGTCCGCGGTCTGGAAGCTTGATGGTGTAGACCTTCGTGTAGTGGGGCTTGACCCACTGTGCCTGATGGAGAAGACAAGGGACCAAACGATTCATGGATGCAGCTGAAAGGACATGTCTTGAACCAACAGTAAAAATGGTGAGCATCGAGCCTTCCCGTTGACGGTAACCTTCTTTTTCTTGTGGACGATGTTGCAATGCTTCACTTGCGGGATCTTGAGAGCGTAGGCACGGGCACCGTCGCTTTGCAAAACCACCTTGCGGTTGGCGAGGTGTTTTTTGGCAATAACAGCCCAGTCCACCTTCTTGATTGGGCCAGGGCCCGGCGCCCGCTTTGTGGTGAGCTTTGGGTTCAAGCGAAACGAGCACAACGACGACGGACAGCCTCTCTGAACTAGTCCGCCCCACTGTTCCCACTTCGTGTTGCGTGGGCCTAAGGACTCGTCCGTGAGCTTGCCAAGATCGACTTCATCCACCTCTACGTCCTCCCAATTGCCACCGTAGGTGATCTGCTTCTCCGACTGGACGACGTATTGAGCACGGGCGACGTCTAGGTTGGTGTAGATCCGCTCCACGGGCTTGTGGTCCATGTCAAGGATCAAGTGCGTAGACTGGCAGGGGACATTGGCTGTTGCACAATACAGCGCTGCAGCTTGTTTGCCAAGCGACGTAGACGAGTTCCCAGCAGACATGAAGAAGACGGGATGGTAGTCGTGCGGCTGCAAGAACTTGTGGCAGTGCTTGTGATTGCATCGGTAGGCCCAAATCTTCTTAGCCCTGACATAGTTGAGTGTCCCGAGAATGCCTTTTGCGCAGCGAGGGCACTGGCGACCCTGCCAGCTGGGCAAGATGTTATCCTTCTGTAGGTGTGTGATCAGGCGGCGGCCTTTCAGTGACATGAGGTGCTGTATGGACTCTCCCCATCGCTGGCGAAACCCTTTGTTTTTGGCCGATAAGATGCCGTGGCGGACATATGGCACGGGAACATAGTTCTTGGAAGCGGGGCGTCTCTGGACGCGATGCTTTCCTCGCTTGGGAGCAGGGAAAGGAGGCTTTGCCTTCATGGCTTTCATGACCGCCTTGGGCATGATGACAAGAGTTCTTGTCAAACAGTTCCTTGAGGCTGCAAGGCTACTTGACAAACTGCAATCAAATCAATACGGAAAGAAGGCAAGGGACGTGTGCTGCGTGCAACATGTTTGGCATCAGAAGCATGGGCGTTTTGAGCCTGCGATCGAGCTTGTCGTGAGAAGTAGCCTGTGAATAAAACAGGTGCTCTTTGGATGCCGGGAGTCAAAATTAGGCACGTAGCATAGCTATTGTGCGAACTGCGATCAGTAGGACTCAGTAGGAGAGGGCTGCAGTCATCGTGCCCGTGAGGCTCACTCTGATGGCATGTTGTCTACGAAGTCATCGAGCTGCTGTGAGAAGGTCCTGCCAAGGTTCTCTGCTTCAAGATCCTTGTCGTCCGGGATATTCTTCATTGGGTCCTCTTGAGAAGCGTTGGAGGCAACATCCATCTCATCACTCGTGAAGTCCACTGCAGAAGTTCCTGTCCCTGCATGTGTGTTTGGCGGCGGCAAGAATCCATCAGCAGCGGAATCCGGATGGGGCGGGGACTGCTTGATCTCGGCATGGAGGGGCGATGTGTGCTCTTTGTGTCTTCCTTCTCTGATGAGCTGGAGAGATTGATTTGCAAAGTGCGGTTGCCGAGTTTCTTCTTGAAGGCGATGGACTTCTGCAAGGCGTCCGTGGGTTCTTGCTTCACATGCACCTCATACACAACTGAAGAAGCATTCTTTAAACGTTGGGAGTAAGCTGGTTTTGGGCTGTGATGTGGCATGTGATAGGCACAGATTATGTTTTGAAGCTGTTAAGGTTTCGACGAGCCCTAAACCCTCCCTTTTAGACTGAGGAAGGGGCCGGAATGAAAGTGTCGGTAGAAGACGACGACCTTACCGTGTCCTTTTCCTTTGCCATGGACGACGCTTCGGCTGTGGTTGGTGGTGCAGCGTTGGAAGACGCGAGCAGGGAGCTGGACGATTTCACAGACCGGAGCTTCTTCGTGGGTGGTTGAGATGACTCAGGGGTGTCCTCGAAGTAGTGTTTGGTACTGCCAGAAATCCCTGCCAAATCAGGGCGGACCTCATTGAGGTACTTCTTCCCGGTGTTGAGTTCTTTGCCGGTCACCGTGTAGCAGAGGGGCACTTCTTCTCCGTCGAGGGCCGCCTGAAGAAGATTCAAATTCCACTGCATGTCCTCCGCATGATTTGCTGGGAGGTGTTGCAGGTGGCCCTTCAGGTAAGCGGACAGTGTAGGCCTTGCTGTGAGAGAGACTACCCCAAAATCTTTGTCAGGCCAGGCTACGCGCTTGATGGGGTCGCGGTGTGTGCCGGGCGAGCGAACATAGATGCCGATGTCGGTGAAGACAATCATGACCGAGCGTTTGAAGACACCCATCAAGTCTTCCTCGTCAAAGTCCTTGTGGAAAGAGGGCCTGACAAGCTTGTAAAAGACTTCGAAGGACACCGTATCGCTGTTTGTCTGGGGTGGCAAGGCGGGCTCAGCTGATCGGTCGTAGGGGTTGGAGCAGACGACGAAAAGCTGGTTCTTTTCGTACGAGGAAGCGTTCCAGCGGGCCATAGTTTTCCTGTCAAAGCCCGTCACTTCTGTGACAGCTTTGACCGAGGCCGGAGACTCCAAATTGAAATTGCCATCGTCGAAGACTCGTGGCTTTGTCGTACGGCCTCTCTCCTTTCGGAAATAGTCCAAGTGGTTGCAGCTTTGGAATGATGGCTTCTCATTTTCACGACCCTTCTGAAGGAGCCAGAATACAGAAGCCAAGTTCGCCAAGGAGTAGGCCGTCGGGCTCTTGCCGACCTCCGACTTGCCAATCAAAATGACTGCGTGCTCCAGGATGCGAGGCAAGATGGGTGCGAAGACTGTGTTGAGGGCCCACGGGGTAAAGCTCTTCAGGGTGAGGGGCCAATCTTGGATAGTGTTTGCCTGCGAGCCTTTATCAGCAAGGCAGCGCAGGAACTCCTTGATGGTTCCTTTGTCCCATTTGAAAAGCGGCCCATTGGGATCATTCACCTGCTCTTCAGTCCACGAAGTGAATTGACCGTCACTGTTCTCTTCCGGCCCTGCTTCACGGATGAAGGCAAACCCCTTCCGAATGTCCTCTGTCTCTTTCGTCGGTTTGGTGGAGCTACCAGCTGGAATCAGCTTTTGGTAACGGACCTGGAAACCGCCCATGGCCTCGAGAAGATATTGCAGAGCACGACCACCCTCTCGGTACTGCTTGCAGTAGTCAATCTCGAGGGCCCTCCCTGTGCACATGCTGCGGATAGTGTTGTGCAGCACTTTTGACCCTTCAGCGAACTTAACATGCTTGACGATATCCCACTTGTTTTCTCCTTTGGAAACGATGAAAACCTGCATGTCGTAGGGCGTTTCGGTTCGACCGTTCATACGGATAGGATGTGGGAGATCACTGTAGCGTTGTTGGAAAAACAACTCTTCGATCTTCTTGAAGTCCAAGACACCCTCCCAGTTCATGAGTACATCGAGGAACTGCACCTTTTTCTTCACCTCATCTGTGATCTCATCCTTGGCCGGGAGATCTCCGACCGTGATGCAACCCGGCTCTTTGTGTACAACGATGGGCTTCTCCAAGCGAACAAGTTTGAGGCCATCAGTGTGAGAGATTGCCTCATCAAAGGTAATGGCGCCGTCCAATGCATCATTGTGCATGGACTGTGCCAGAGACACTGGACGATGTGGAGCCCTGCTGGCCATTGCGACGCAAAGTGTAGGGCCTAGGAAATCAGAAGACTTTGAGCATCAAACAGAATGCTCGGAAAGGGCTGGCAGCTCTTGGAGCGGAAGCGATAACCAACTGTGAGAAGCAATGCGGAAACACGTTTTAGCACTGCAGAGGCTTACCGGTTGATGGCCATTTACTGAGGAGATTGGAAAGCGAGCTCGTGCTTTTGCAGCAGCCCCGGACTAGACAAGGCCTTAACAGCTACATGCCAAGTTCAGCTCTTTCCGCAGTCGTGAGAAGTCTCTCAGCCACAATGTCTTGTCATGGAGTTACCTTGTAGAAGACGCCGTCGTCGTTCTCGAAGACAGAACATCCTTGTTTGGGTAGGTTTTGTATTTAACAAATAACCCCATAGGTTGTGTACCAACAATCATTCTCATTATATGCAGTATGTCTTTGCTGTAAATGAAGCCGCGTCTCCGTCACTTAACTTGCCGATCCGCCGTGCTGGCAACAACGCGGTTTCCTTCTTTGAGCACTCTCACGACATGGAGGAATGCAGACGACAAATGATGTCCTTGCCGTTCCTCGCTTTTGCTAATGTAGTTGCCATCGGTGGTGATTGCAGTGGCGAGAATGATGATGATGATGCGGTTGTTGCGTATTGTTTTTTTCAGTTGCTAGTTCTTGAAATTAATGGTTAATGTCGTGTTTCGTGTTGCTATTAACTAGGGAATATTGCTGTTATTGCTATTGTTGTTGATGTGACTCTCGGTCCACGACATGCAGGAATGCAGACGACACATGATGCCATTTCCCGGTCCTCAACTTTAAAGTTGCTGTAGTTGCCATCGGTGGTGATTACAGTGGCGATAGTGATGATGATGACGATGCTGTTGTTGTGTATTGTTTGTTTCAGTTGCTAGCTCTTCAAGTTAATGGTTACTGTCGTCCTTCGTGTTGCTATTAACTAGGAATGTTGTTGTTATTTCTATTGTTGTTGATGTGACTCTCGGTCGGTTCTGAGTCCTCGTCTTATTTTTTGGTTGCTTCTGTTACTGCTTTGGTTATCGTCACTGTGATGTTCCTCGTTGCCGGTTGTGTTTTTTAATTGTTGTTGCTCTTGATGTTGATGCTTTTGTTGTTGAAAAAAGTTATTCTGACTACCATCCTAATTGTTATTGGTTTTGTCGTTTTTGTGCCCGTTGATGTTGTTCTTACGATTCCTTACTGTCATGATGACTACTTTTCACAATGAAACATTGATAAAAACGATGTTTGCCCTCACAGCCTAGCGGACGTTAGAAAAAACAGAAAAATTTGGGTGCGGCATTGAAACGTAGGAGCACCTATTGATTTTTTGCTGGTTTTCGTCAATGGCACGGGATTTGCCGTAGCGCTTTTTTCCCTGCATCTCCGCGCACGTTTTTGCATTGCGTTTAGTAGTGTCCATACTTTGCCGACCCTGAATTTCGCTATATTTTTTGGTATACCCTCCGTAGGATTTTTTTCGCAAATTCCGGTTTCTGCACGATTTTGTCGTCCAAAAATGAAGCTGAGACCATAAACAGTTTTCTCGGCCTGTTTGCAGGTATTACAAAAAGCCTTAGTTTCTCTGCAAACGTGGATCTGGCTGGTGCCGCCTTTTTGGCATATTTCCGTTTTGCACGGTTTTGTCGTCCAAAAGGAAGCTGAGACCATAAGCAGTTTTCTCGGCCTGCTCGCAAGTATTACAAAAAGCCTTATGTTTTGCTGTAATAGTGGATCTGGCTGATGCCGTTTTTTCCCACAAATTTCCATTTCTGCACGATGCTGTCGTCCAAACATGAAGCTGAAACCATAAACATTTTTGTCGCAAAAAACTGATTTGTGCAAAAATATAGGCTTTTCATAGTTTTCGCACAATATCTGATCGCTCTTTTGGACTCGACAGCCATGCATGCACCTTAGGATCGTGCCTTAGCTCCAAAGTGTAAGTAGCCTTTATGCATTTCCGATAGGTGCCTGCTCACCCTCCACCACCCCACTCACCACCGAGGGGTGGATCATGGGGGGGGGGGGCGAGCATATATATATATATATTAATATGTACGTGGGTCTGTAGGTATGTATACACGTACATGTGTATACGTATAGGTGCATACAGATAAAAGCCGACGTACATGTCTGTCTGTTTCTCTGTCTCTCTGTCTCTCTGTCTCTCTGTCTGTCTGTCTGTCTGTCTGTCTGTCTGTCTGTCTCTGTCTCTGTCTCTCTGCCTGCCTGCCTGCCTGCCTGCCTGCCTGCCTGCCTGCCTGTCTGTCTGTCCGTCTGTATATATGCATGCATGTAAATATGTATGTATGCGTGCATGTATGTATGTATGTATGTATGTATGTAGACAGGTAGGTAGGTAGGTAGGTAGGTAGGTAGGTAGGTAGGTAGGTAGGTAGGTAGGTAGGGTCAATGTGTCAACGCATGCATGAATGTATGTACGAAGGTATGTACGTAAGTATGCATAGTCGAGCCGAGTGCTTCTCGAACTTGTTGTGGAATTGCGCAAGCCCCAAACCCCAAACCCTAAACCCCAAACCCTAAACCCTAAACCCTAAACCCTGAGCCCCTAAACCTTAAAGACCCCTAAGCCCCAAACCCCAAAACCCGTAAACCCATAAGCCGTAGCTCCGTGTTCCCGACGCCTCGATGGTTCAGGGACTCAGGGTTCGGCTCTGGGGCTTTCGGGTTTAGGGCTTAGGGCTTAGGGGTTACGGGGTTTAGGGTTTAGGGTTTAGGGTTTAGGGCTTAGGGCTTAGGGGGTTACGGGGTTTAGGGCTTAGGGGGTTATAGGGTTTAGGGGTTACGGGGTTTAGGGTTTTGGGGGTTATAGGGTTTAGGGTTTAGGGGTTTAAGGCTTTAGGGTTATAGGTGTCACATAGGGTTTAGGGGTTATAGGGTTTAGGGGTTTAGGGCTTTAGGGATATAGAGTTTAGGGTTCAGGGCTTAGGGCTTAGGGTTTAGGGGTTAGGGTTTGACCTGTTACACCCACGTAAAATCCTTACGCATAACGCACGAACCATAGCACAACCCCTGAATCGCCCAGACTCCTACTCCCTGAACGCTGGGCCTGCAAACCCTAAGCCCAAAACCCTAAACCCTAAACCCTAAAACCCTAAACCCCTAAACCCTAAACCCTAAAACCCTGAACCCAAAACCCAGAAGAGGCCTCTTCGCCTTCGGCAAAAGGTAAATTCGCGTTGCCTTCGTCAACTCCTCGCTGAAGCATGGGCTTCGATGATTTTACAAGGGGTTGTTTTGCAAGAAGAGACGGGAAACCGGAGCTAGGGTTCAGGGTTTAGGAACCCTAAACCCTAAAACGGGTTCAGGGCTTAGGAGTTCGATTTAGGGTTTAGGGCTTTTGCCAAGGATTTTTTTGACAGACTTACTGGACTTCAGAGCGGCATTTAGTGCCTTCGGTGTTGCGGTGGGCTAAGAAACCGGGTTCCTTTATAGTGGTTTAGGGTTCAGGGTTTTAGGGTTTAGGGCTTTATAGGGTTACAGGGTTTAGGGTTTGGGGTTTAGGGTTTTAGGGTTTAGGGAAACCCCCAAACCCTAAACCCCCCGAGAATGCGGCCCTTGGAGCATTGGTAGCCCTGAAGGCAAAAGCCAAAAAATTGGAACACCATTCTCCTGGTACCCTCAAGGTAAAGTTTAAGGGACCCTAGCACTAATCATCCTAAATCCATGTTCCAACTTTCTGGGAATCCATAAACCCTAAACCCCGAAACGCTAAACTCTATATCCCTAAGGCCCTAAACCGCTAAGCCCCAAACCCTAAACCCTAAACCCTAAAACCCTAAAACCCTAAAACCCTAAACCCTAAACCCTAAAGCCCTAAACCCTAAACCACTACAAAGGAAACCTCAAGGAATCTCCTTCAAGGCGCTTGGCCCTTTCATGGCGGCCTCGCCGGTGAAACTTCCTCGGCGCACCCATGGGTTTGGGCGGTTTAAAGCGTAGGGTGTTAGGCCCTAAACCCGAAACCCCAAACCGTACACCCTGTAAACCCTAAACCCCAAACCCTAAACCCTAGACCCCTAAACCCTAAACCCCTAAACCCTAAAGCTTAGGGTCTTAGGGTTTGGGGTGTTAGGGTTTAGGCTGGATTTCGGACGGACCCTCGAGTTTTCTTCAGGGTCTCCTTTAATGGGTACGTTTCCCAAGGGCTCCTTTTAAAGGGGTTCCTTTCAGGGCTCAACCCTAAACCCTAAGTCCTAAACCCTAAACCCTAAACCCTAAGTCCTAAACCCTAAACCCTAAACCCTTGGGTTGAAGCCTTTAGGGGCAAGGGCTCCTTTCAAGGGGGGTTCCTTTCAGGGTTCCAAGACGGGCCTAGGGCCTTTAGGGCTTCTTGGGACTTTCGGTTTAGGGTCTAGGGTTTAGGGCTTTCAGCTGGCTTCAAGGCTTTTGGGTTTGAGGATTGAAGGTTTAGGGTTTAGGGTTTTGGGGTTGAGGGTTTAGGGGTTTTGAGGGAGTTTTGGATGTTTCCAACTCAAGGAAACAAGCTCTGCATGGACCGGACCCAGACTAAGGCCTAAGCCTCACGTTCTACAATACACCTGCCAGGAATCACAACCAAAACAAGGCGAGTCGCACAACGGAAAATGAGTCAACGGACTGAAACATCCCCACCTAAACCCTTAACCCTAAATCCTAAACCCCAAATCCGAAACCCCAAACGATAAACCCTAAACCCCAAACCCTGTTGGGCTACACAGTCTCTTTGGGGAGAGGCTCTCTTACTCGGACACAATTCAGGCAGTCTCACCCCCAAGGCCGAAGGTCAGCTTGGTGTCAGGCTTATAGGTAAGGTACTAAGCCCTAAACCCCAAAGGGTTTAGGATGTGGGTTTAGGGTAAGTACGAGGGTTTAGTCTAGGGGTTGAAGCTTCGGAGCTCTGGTAACCCACGAAGTAGAAGCCAGAAAACTGGAACGTTAGTGGCATTCATTGGCAGATAGGGGGTTGGGATTTGGGTTAAGGAATCATTAGACGAAG